GAACCAGATCTGGGGGTAGATTCTCTGAGGGAAGTGTTGGCCCAACCCTGTGGAAATACAAGTCCCGCTGTTTGGCTCATGAGTTGGGGTGGTGATGGACTAAGCTAGGTGTGACCATGGAACCTGCCATCATGGTTAAAGGAACTGACAACATTCTGGGCAGGTCAAGGCAGCAGCACCAAATGCGCATTCTAAAACAGGATGCGGGGTGGGTCAAACTGCAACTGGAAGGGGGCTGAGCAAACTCACAAGGAAGAACAGAGAGCAGGACAGAACACAGGTCATGCCGAGCTAGGCTTTTACACAGACTGGTCTGCCTGAGTCAGGGATGCTAAGCCACAGCATCAAAGGCAAGGGCCAAGACAGGTGAGGGGCTATCCCAAGCTGGGTCAGAGAAACCATTGGCATGACCATGATCTATGGTTGGGAACAGGCCTAATTGGGGAGCTGACGAGGGGTTGGGGTGGGGGGGGGGGTGGATGCACTAGCTGGGCTAGACTCACTCCAGCACCATATGGTGCTCTGAAGGACCAGTGTAGATGTAGGATGGACTAGGTTAGGTCTCTGCCCCTACTGAGCCACATGTGAGCTGTGTCTGGATGAGTCTTGGCTGCGCTGAAACATCCAACAGTAAGAACCAGAATGTGTTGAAGGCCAGTCAGAAAAGGCCACTATTCCTGCTAGGACAAGAGGTGGATTATGGACCCACCAGTATGCACAAGATCTGGCAATGGGAGAGGTTCTGATGGAGGAGCGTGGGCAATTCCTCTGGCAGGACACAGTCCCTACAGGTGAGTGCAAGAACCACGATAGCAAGCAGCCCAGACCAGGCCAGAGAAAGATACCCACCAGCAAAGGCATACATTTGGCATAGGTCAGGGGCAGCCCAGGCTGAATGGGTTCACATCACCTGTTGGCGAATCCGAGCACCAGAACAGAGTGTGGGTTGGGCCAGATTAAGGTATGTTCAACACATACCAGTGCACGTTATGGCTGGAATTGGATGGCGGCTGGGCTGGGCTGGGCTATAACCCTCACCGGCCTCAGCTGGAAGTGGGGGTGGGCCGAGCTGGGCCAGGCCAACACCCACTGGGCAAATGCCAAGGTGAGGTGGGCCAACCCAGACTGGCTTGCAGTGCTCAACAAACACACATGAGAACCAGGGAGGGAGGGGGCAAAGCTGGTAGGCAGAATGTGAAGGGCTCCCTTGCTGGACAGCCACTCCCACTGGAGAGGGTTAGCTGGGATGGTGGCAGACCAGACCAGGCCGATTGTTTCTACTGGTGCATCAGCCGGCATAAGCTGGCACCGGGGGCTAATTCTGTCAAGTTCAACTGCAGAACCACTGGGGAGTACATAATCTGGGAGTGGGAGTGGCCTAGGAGGGAAATAGCGGGCACCTCCCTCTTGGGTTACCACTCACACTGGAAAGCATGAAAACCAGGAACCGGGCAGATCTGGCTGGACAGAATGGCACCCAGCAGCATGTGCATGGGCTAGATAGTGGGCCTGGTTGGGTTGCACTAGGCTTCAATGCCCACTGACATGCACAAGAGCTAAATGGGATGTGGGACAGATTGAATAAGTCTGTAGACCATGGGCTGGGGGGGGGGGGGAGGGCAAGCCTGGAGTAGGTTATTGAGAATCGCTCCAACTAGGCTGCAGCTCCCACTGGTTTGCTTGAGGGCTGAGTATGAAGTGTGCAGGATTGGGCTGGACTGTGACACCCATTGGTTTGTGTGGAAGACAAGGCTGGAAACACAACTGACCAAGCTATTGTAACCACCAGCATATGCATAAGCCGACTGGGGCAAAGGACAGTGCCAGACCCTGTACAGGCATTCACACACAAGAATTAGGTCTGGGATCACCTCAAATGAAGTTTCTTTGGAGATCTGTCCAACTGTACTGTTGATCTCAGGAAACCAACCATAAAGAGACTGTGTCAGCCAGTAGATTCTGAAGAGGTTTCATTGCACTTGGGAATGGTGAGATTGGAAGCAATTCAGAACTGATGAACTATCAAAACTGCATGAGCAGGACCCTCAGAGAATGCCCTACCTTCCTGTAGCCCTTGACCCTTTGTGCCCTAATCAACTATGTAAAATTACCAAAATAACATTATTTTAAAAAATGGAAAAGACACTATTCTTCATCATACAGGTTTTCTATTTTTAAAATAAAAATTAGGTTGCTGGTATTAACATTTACATTCCATGTAAGAGTGTTTACATTCAAATCCTGGTTAAGTTTTGGGATGCCCAGCTTCCTGCTAAGGCAAACCCTACCAGGCAGGAGGTCATTAGCCTAGCAGCTCATTTGGTCCTTGCCAGTGTATGGGAGACCTAGGTGGAGTTCCTGGTTAACAGCTTCAGCCTGGCCCAACCCTGGCATGTGTGCTTCAGGGGCTAATAGATTAAAAGGTCTCTAATAACTAAAAATGAATTTAAGAATCCCCCAACCCCAGAACAAATTTTCTCAAATCTGTCATGACAAAATATAAAGTGGAAAATTTCTAAACTATTTTGTAAAAAAGACACAAAGCACTCCCTTATAATGTTCATCAATGTACATTTTATCTTTTTTATTGAGGAAACCATAATGAATACAAAAGTACAGCAATCATGTGACTTTTTACATACAATTTCATTAAAGCAAACTCTAAACCACAGTTTGTAAAGTATTCAATTTACCTCAAGTCCAAGCTGCATCTCCCTAAGACACTTCCCATCACAGTAGCCATTTTAAGCCAATCTTCTTTTTACACACGGGTAGTTTCTGTAGAGAACATTTTTCTCAGGACGAAAATGCATTGAGCATGCATAAGAAAAAAAATATATATGTGCAAGTACATTTAAGCTTCTTTAGGGATATCACTGAAGAAAATAAAAGCCTGGGGTTTATCTGCTTCTTAAAAGCACCAATTTAAAAATCCCTTAGATATTGTGGCAAGAAAAAAAACAAGTGACTGACTAAACAAAAAATGTGCAGAAAATAATAACATCCTCACTGATTAGTAAACTATATATCATTATTCTAGGAAGCATAACTTTTTAGGTAGAACTGATTTACTGGCAGAGTAGTCAATGAAATGAAACGTCATGACTTTTGAATACATTCCTGTTTTCCTTTGAAGGTACCCTGCTAATTTCTATTCAAATACATGTTTATGAATTAACAAGACATTAATAATTTCCCAATTTGTATAAACTAGTATGAAATTACTAATTTAAGTATTAAACCATTTTCATCAGTTAAAAAATAAACTATTTTGCATTTCAAAAGGAAATATTAAACCACAGAACTATCACCAGACTAAGATATCTTAAAAACAAAAAACACAAACAACAAAAAAAAACCCCACACTGTCAATGTTTAAGTGCTAAACAAATCGATCTAAACTAAACATTGTTTCTAACACTCTCAACATCCACTGCATTCAAATCAAGTGGCTCACCTTTTCTGCTTTCCGTTTCTTTTAAGGTCAAGATTAGCAACATTTAAAAAAATGCTTATATACCAGTGAAGGCTTATGGTAAGAAATGTAAAAATTTCTCATGAGATAGAAACAATGTTCCAGTATCTACTAGCATTCATATATATATATTCTTTTATAAAAATGCAAACTACAACTACCCAAAACTTGAAAGGCTTTTAAGGTTCAAAGAGCCTCTCTCTATCCATCAAATCTTAACACATCTAGCAATGACTATTAAAAACACACGTACACATAAATGTGGTGCAGTAAAACTTAAGAAATTTAACAGTTCATGGAACATTAAGGTTAAGTGAATAGCATTGTAAACTGAAGTGATCAAGAAAAGGTACATTACACCCTACACCATATTATGTATTGGAACACATTTCATACTTCTCAATTATGATGTGCCATTTTTACCTTCTACATTGAGCCCTTCTATGGTCCATGCTCATCGGCTCACCAATGGCATACACTCAAAGGATTCCTCTTTATGGGTAACTATCTCAGGACCTGATTTTATGAGCTATGATTTGGTGCTTGCAGCATCTTCAGCACTGTGTGTGAAAATGAAGGCAGTATTTTTGAATATTTTTCTTTGTTGCAGAGATAAGCAGGAGTTTTAAAAGGATCAGCACATTTTAGAAATCTTATAAACAAAACTGATATGATGCTGCTTTAATACATTCATCTTAACTCAAAATATGTACCAGTTAAAATCATCTAGAAGAACACACAAACATTTTAAACTGGCAAAAAAAAAAAAAAATTAAAATAAATGCAGCGTCAGTTACTAAAATATAAATTCAAAAAATACTGGTTGCTACAGATTATGAAAGGTTATTTGCTATACAGTTAACATTTCACTGATGCACCTGATGCACATGCCTTTAAATCATACTGCCAGCATTCCTTATAATTTTTCCTTTTTCAACATGTATAAGTTATGAAAACTGAGTTGAAGAGAAAACCATGATAAAGCTGACCACCAATATCTTAACTGAATTACTACAGTTCAAGGATATAAACAAACAAACAAACAAAAATCATAGCTTTGGAGGGCAAATAAAATGTCCTATCATTCATATAACAGATTGTGAAGGCTGTTGAAGTTTCTGACCAAGTGATTTCCTAAATCTGTAAAGCTATGCAACTGTTCTTTTCCAGTTGTGACATTTCTATATTTGGGGGAAAAATGCAAAAAAGTTTGGATGTAGGCTCATTAATAGCAGCAATCCACTCATTCTTTTGTTTTTAATAAAAAATTAAAGTAAAAAACATTACCCAGAAATGTAAACAGCTGCTTGCACAACTTACAGACTTTCCACTACAATGGTAGCATCAGTAACAAAGTACATTGTGGGGAAGCAGTAGCAGATTGCTTCTGAATACACAACCACAAAAACCTCACAGGGACAACATTAATGTACTGAAATATTTATTTAGATATGTCCTTAGGTTGTGCTTACCTGGTGCTTTTGCAGCAGAACCTAAGGTGGAAGGTCTGGGAAGGCACTGTGAAGTATAAATAATTGCACTGTTTGCAATTAATAAAGATTTTAAACCTTAAATGAATCAAAATCAACAGCCTCCAATTTGTGAGTAATGACTGAATCCAACTGAACTATTTAGTTTAACTAACAAATGCACCACTGTCCTAAAAGATCATCTATACAACAGTATCATGCAGACTGACATTATTCACATCAATACCCTATTCTTCAAGTTAACAGGTAAATCCTTAACTATTAAATTTCAAACTAGAACTACATTTCCACATCTAAATAAGGGTAAGGGAAGTCATTCTAGATAAATAAACAATCCAAAACATTTCAAAACATCTACAATGAACTGTACTGCTTTTTCCACCCTGTAAGTAATCTCAACATTTATGTTGTTGTACATCTTGCGCTAAACTATAATCAAAACAAATGGTGCTCCCTCATAAATGACAGTATTTTTATGGTGCTAAGAGTGTTATACTGCTGGTCATTTGCAAGAGAAAATCATTTCTGTCTCATACATTTCAAGTCCTCCATATTAGTATAAGATATGCATATTTTACGCTGAAAAACAGTATTTTAGGAGCACCAGTAATAATATTAAACTGTTAATGATCAGTTTTCTTTAGCTATAGCTAAAGCACATAAAAAAATACTTACCCATTAAGCTCACTTAAAAAAATACAGAACTATGTATTACTCTATGTTAAGAAACAATTATGGTTTTCCAAGATATCAGCACTGTATTCCAACATAATATTCAAACAAAGTATGGCATTTGCATTATGTGGAACATTGACAAAAAGATACTGTTGCAGTTCATCAATTTGTCATTCTGATGTACTTACAGTGCAATGCTCCTTGAAGGAACACAATCAAGGATGATACACAGCACAGTCCTCCTCACCCCTACAGAGCTAGTTCTATACTGGCTGGATCAAACCTGCACTTCAACAGACAATGGCAAGACAGACTGTATTTGCATGTAGTCTAACATATTAATATGCAAAGAGCCAACAAATATGCAAAGAGTAAAACAATGGATTTCAACAAAATATCAGAACTTCAGCATGAGTGTTAAAGAGTAATAAATGATTTCAAGTACATAAAAAAAGTAAGCTGATTCAATGACTGGACTTGTGCATTTACAAAACAAAGCTTATCTAAACTGCAAAAAGAAAAAATAAAAAAAAGAAAAGGCTTCACCATTTCCATACCCCAATTATGTTTCAATGGCAGATGCAATGTAGCTATAACTCTGCATACTAGACACTTTTCTACCCTAAATTTAGAAAGAAACATACTAATATTATATACATTGAAAGAATTGCTTTACATGAAAAAATCAGACTACTCATTTACTATCTGAAAACTGTTTAAAAATAGTTATATGCTGAAACAAGTCTTGAAAATCAAGTAATTATCAAATTCAGAACAGAAAGGTTAACTGTTATAGCAGCAGTACATATCTGAAACAGTGGTCATGTATAAAAAAGGAAATTTCACTGTTAATGCAATGGAAGTATGCCAAAAGATCACTGTACACACATGCAGTTTTTAACCAAACAGAAGGAAAAAAATGAAGATATCAGGATTACTTGTGCTGAAACAGCCAAATACAATAAATGGAAAAGATTCTCCAACCTATCACTATACTGCAAGGGGAAAAAACATGGCAGTGTTTAAAACTCAATTACTTCATGGGGAAAGCTTATATTTGTGTTTATGTATCTTATTTTATCATTGCTAAGAAATTATGAATCTTTTACCCACATATCCAACTTACCGACACAGGAGGTTTCATATCATTTATTGTAAAGCACAAAACAGGCATTTTAAAAGTGAAAGTATACATTGAAAAAGTACATTTATATCACAAAGCATTGACCACATAATAGTTGCAAATACATTTGCTGGAATGTGTACATCTACACTAAATACTAAAAACAAACCATTTTCATTTCTACACAGAAATATTAACCTCCTATCAGTAGTGATAGATATTTTGTACATTTTTGGAAAAAAAAAAAAAAAGAAAAAAAAAAAAAAACCACTATTTGAAACCAAAAACAAAATTAAGATCTTCATCAAGTCGTCTGCATCCATATATTTAACAAAGGTTTTTTTCCCCCACACAATGAAGCAAATACTGTATTGTCCACTTCTTATTATTGGCCCTGTGCAGAAGAGATACATAAGAAATACACAAAAAGTTAAAGAAAATCCTTTAAATGGAGCTAATTCAGGAGTGAATCCTTTAAGAAAGAAAAACTGGTTAATATAAATGGTGGTGGCTTCTTGCATGATTTGCAAATCCCTGGGGGAAGAAAATTTATTTTTAAAATCAATGGCATTGTAGAAATATTCAGCACTCAGATGCCAGAAAGTATTACTAAAAAACAAACACACAACCCAAACAACAATACCATAGTACTTCATTTAGAGTTATCCTTGGCCGGATAATGAATCTAAAGACAAACATACTCCCAGACATATGGTAAACATGCAGAAAACAGGATTGGAATGGAAGCAAACAAATCACTGAATTTAGTATACCTGAGGTGCTGGAGGGTGCTGTGGCATTCCCTGGGGACTTGTTTGGGCATAGTAGGCTGCTTGTTGTCTATAGTACTCGGCCCAGGCTGCACTATAATCTGGCTGGCCACCTGGTGGAGCACCAGTAGGAGCAGGAACTGCTTGACCTTTAAGAAAACACAACAATTTTGCTGCTGTAACCACAATTAAAAGCCCAAAATAAACTCATTTCTAATAAAAACAATACCTTGCTTCTTGTAATATTCCTCCCAAGCCTTTGAATAATCTTGTGTCTGCCCTTGTTGACCTAAAAAAAACCCCCTAAATTTTAATACAACATTACATCCACTTGTAAGTACAGGTTATAAAGACAAAAAGCACAGCGAGTCAGAACTGCTGACCCTCTTCACTCTAAATTCTAGTGTCAGAAAACCACCCTGAAATTAAAAAGGAAAAAGTTCTTTATTTTTTTTTTACTTACACTGATCATTACCATTTTAGCATATAACTACCAAAAAGCAAAAGCTCACCAAACTACACATAGCTTTAATGAAGAAAGGAAGAAGTTAATGTAGCATAATTCTTATAATGTAGTATAACTATTTCAGCTAATAAATAAAATTCTAAATTTGGAAGGTGGATCCCTGTCTGAATATGAGCAGAGGATAAGGGAAAAATCTACTGCTTTTGCAGTCTCCTGCCTGTATGAATAATTTTAATATTTCTCATAGTTAAAACACAGTCATCAAAAAAGAGTTACAAAAAGAAAATGGTGGGTTGGTAGTGCTTAAAAAGACCATTAGACTAAAAGTTTAAGATCAAGTATTTTCATAATTAGTAACCTATATAAGCTGTAGTCATGAAGAACATAAGGTTAGGAACAAAAATGGAACTCAATGATGGCACAGATTATACAGGGTTAGCGCATAGTAAAAAAAAAAACATCTAAGCTTGTGTAAGGCATCTGTACAATTATCAAAACTACCCAGTGATCTATTTCTCAGAGTGTTATCTTCAAGTACATTCATGAGTATGTTTATCTACTTTTACCTGGGATGACTTTCTAAATTAGTAAATCATAATAATCCAATGCAATGCCTGAATTTTGAATGAGCTCTGAATTAAGACAATTCCTCCAGAATTCCAGATATTTAAACAGTGCCTGCATGTTGAAATGATTGAGTGAATTTAGAGGAAAAAAATGTGTAACTTTCTTTGAAATGGTTCTCGCGCAATGAATATATTCATAGGTAAGACGCTTAAGAGAAAGCTTGCAGAAAAAAAAAGTGAATTTGATAAACCCTCACCTTACATGTTAGAGACCCCACATGGGAGCCGGTTTGTGCCCTGGATGCTCCACTTCTCACCTAGCTCCCTTCCTGGGGCCTGGGAAAGCAGACCAGGCCAGCCCAAAGCCTTGGGACCCTGCACCAGCATGGTAGATCCAGAAGAAGCTCCTGGCATCAGATTGGCTTAGCTCCTGCTGTTGTGGCTACTTTGGGAGTGAATCAGTGTATGGAAGATCTTTCTTCCCATCTCCTCTCTATAAATCTGACTTTCCAACAAAAAATTAAATTAAAAAAAAAATCAAGAATTTATTGGAGCTGGTGCAGTGGCTTAAGCTAATCCTCGCCTGCAAGCACTGGCACCCCATTTAGGTGCTGGCTCTTTTAAAAAAATAAAAACATTTTTTCCATATTCAGCTACTTTCCTTCAGGTCTGTTTATTAAAGCACAAATACAATGGCTATCTATCACCATAAATCTGGTCACGACATGAATAAAAATCCTCAGAAGTGGATCGATCCTAGCACTTTCACCTTCTGAGACTCAATCAAATCTCAAAGAAGTTTCAATATTCAGAAAACACTCTAATACCAAGACATCATAATGTAACAGAATCACAACAGTCTGGAGGATTACAAATCACACACCTGTAATAAAACTTGGTTAAGATATCAACAATTTCAGATTTACAAAAGGATCTAAACCTCACTGTAAGATTCATCTTAGAGGGACCATGGGAAGTTAACATGTCTGACTCAAAAAAAGCTCCTTTAAAAATTCAAATGTCTCTAAGTAAATGTTAGCCTCCAAGAAAAATATGTGGTTAACTATGAACACTTAGCTTTCCAGCCTTAAACCCTTCCAATCTAAATGACAATGATTCAGGTTGACAAAAAACTCCTATCTAATCTCCTTTGGCCTTGGCCCTTCGCTTTAGTCTCCTCTTTGTCCCATTGGGCATGGATTTCCCTTCCTTGTTACCCGCATTCCTTCCTCTTTGGTTACTATTTGATGCTGGAGAGCTGGTCTACAGGCTAGTAGAACATTCACCTTTATATACAGCTTAATAGCGTAAGAAGTTCCATTTTACTTTCACTCAACTTAAACGACTTGTTTTGCGGTTCACAGGCAATATTTTCTTTTTCCCCCACAAAGCTTAACATCATGCATTTATTATAGCTTACAAAACCATGTGACACATGATGCATCTAGGGCCCTTCTTTAAGTCAAATTTTCCAAAATGTCTTAGGATCTTCTCTGAACATTAAATGACCTCTCCTTAATTTGAATCTTCATTTTAAGCATTTTTACCTAATACAAAAAAATTCCTTTTATTTAGCTTCAAAGATACCTTCCCTCACACTGCTACCTTTATCTGTATAATGCAAACTCCCTTCTTTAACCTTCTATGACACTCATTCATTTTTAAAATACCTTGAAAGGTAGAATTAGATAGAGAAGTAGAAATTTCCATCTGCTCTCTTACTCTACAAAAGGCTGCATTAGTTGGGATTGGCCCAGGTCAAATCCGGGAGCCTGCAACCTGATCCACATAAATGTGCTAGTGGCCCAAGCACTTTGCCATCATCTGCTGCTTTCCTAGGCACATTAGCAGGGAGTTAGACTGGAAGTGGAGCAGCTGGAATTTGAAGTAGTTTTATCTGCCCACAATTGAAGCCATGGTAATCTTTAACAACACTGTTCCCTCAGGTCTTTTAATTGTCTCAAGACAAAACTAATCTTGGAAACCAAACTCACAACCTGTCAAAAGAAACAAATGATTAAGTGTGTCCCAATAGGAAAATTGGAATTACATGTGACATTCTGACATGTTTGAAGAATCAGGCAATCTGGAGCACCAGGAAATCGCATTCCTGCCACTTAAGGACATGGCTTTGGTGACAGACTTTATTTCATCATTACTCCACCCCCCCCCCAACAATTAAACTTCAAGATTGAACTATATTAATCTTATGGTTTACAGTTTGTGGTTACTGTAAAAAGATCCTGAGAGAAAATTATTAAAGTACTTAAAATTTTATATTCTGGGTATCTGTACTTGATACCCAACTCCCAGTTTCCTGCTAATATGCAGAATCCGACATAGCACTGCTGGTTCAAGTAACTGGATTCCTGCCACCCACCTGAGAGTTGTGGCTGAGTTCCCAACAACCAGCTTTAACTTTGTGGAGATGCAACTGGTAGGGTTTCTTGGGGAGTGACCCACTGGATGGGAGCTCTCTACCTCATATTTTTTAAATGAAAAAAAATGTATATATTATATATATTCATCTGTAAGAAATGGAACAAAGAAGCCAATCCACTTCAATTACAGAATTAACAGGTTCATTGTAGTACCATAGGAAAGACACACCAGAAAGCTAATTGGGACATAAAAATCTTCAGTACAAGAGTGTCATTTCCACATCATGTTTTCCCAGGAGGACTTAACACTCCAGTACAGTATCTCCAAGAGACTGTAGAACAGTTGTCAGAAGGATAATAAAAAATTGAGAAAACAAAACAAAACCCAACAACATTAACGACAAGGGATAAAGTATAATGTTTATGCTTAACAATAAAAATCAGAATTCAATACAATTACTCATTTTGGGCAAATAAAACATGAGAAAGCTAAACAGTAAACTTATTATACATCTTGTAATCCCTGTAACTAGAATATAGTATGAGTTTCAAATTTTCCTTCACCGATTTTCACTTGTGGCAGAATGGCCTGAGATAAGCCAAGTCACAGAAACTAATAACCGATTTGTTAATCACGAACAAACTCAGTGCGACATTCCTGAAAAGTCAATCTAATCAGTAATAATCAACCTAGGGGTTGGCATGATAGCTCAACTGGCTAATCCTCTGCCTGTAAGAGCGGACATCCCATATGAGCTAATGCTCATTAATGCCCCAACTGTTCCACTTCCCACCCAGCTCCTTGCTTGTGGTCTGGGAAAACAGAGGATGGCCCAAAGTCTTGAGACCCTGTACCCATATGAGAGACCCTGAAGAAACTCCTGGTTCCTGGCTCTGCACTGGCTTAGCTCCAGCCCTTGTGACCATCAGGGGAGTAAACCAGTAGGTGGAAGATCTTTCCATCTCCTCTCTGTAAATTTTTCCAATTAATAATTGATAAATCTAGGAAGCTTGAACTGAAGTATCTCTTGGAAGTTCAATTTTGTTCTAACCACGGTGTCTCCAATGTGTTCATGTGAATCACCACCAGTGAACATTCAGTTCTTCTTCTTTAGCTGTTTGTAGTAATATCTTCGGAAATTACTCAAGAATGACTATCCATTAGCATAAAATAAACAGATGCCAGAGTTCCTGGTTGTTGTATCCATAACTGCTTTCTCAGCATCAAATGCTTTGGTATACAGTATGCATTGCATGTTCTACAGTTGCTGAATAAATACAGCCATTCTGGGTGACTTTTTCCATTCATATATGCAAATGTTATTTAAGTTACTAATTTTATTTCTTGCTTAGTTTGCATCAAAGGCAATACTAAAACTACTTTCGCCCGGGACTCCAATAATTCTTATGTCATTTAGATTATGTATTTAGATTAGTAACTTTTTGAGAAAAGTATGAAAACAATGTCACATTATGTCCATGGTGAAATTTCTAAATTACTAAAGAAGGACAAATGCAAAGCCCAGTCATTTCAAACTGCTATTTCCTTCTCTCATTGTCTTTGAATAAGTGTGCCAAAGTCATTGTTTTTTTCTCCCCAAACCTTCAATATCCTAAGGTGTAACTACTAAGTGTTCAGCTTAATCAAACATGTAACTTTAAAAATATATACAACATACCCATTTTTTTGTAGTATTCTTCCCAAGCCTTTGTATAATCAACCTGACCAGCTGGAGCTGGATTCTGCTGATCTCCTTGTTGAAGGGAAAAAAGAAAAATAGATTACTGTTTTAAAAAGGCAATTTTGGGCCTTTCCTTTAGTTGTTTAAGTATAGAAACTGCCAGAGGCCTGTTCTACGGCAGAGTGTTAAGAGAAAGGTGGTACGTGGTAATGACATTCCTGATTGTGCCGAAGACAGGATGGTGGGAGTATGTAAACGTGAACAGAAGAGCACTTCCGTATACTGATGTCAAGGAAATACATTGAATCTATCAGATTCTTCAATATTATTAATCACCAAGATAGAACAGCTGGGAAGTTTTAGAACAGAACTACAGAACATATTAACTCAAGGTTTTAAAATACACATATTCTTAAAAAAAAAACCAAAGTACTTTTATGAGAGCAGGCATAAGCATTTGTAATGAGTATTTTTAGCTTTGTTTCTGAATACTATTCAGTACATAAAGGAACCAAGGATGCTTGAAGAAATGGCTGCTTCCAGGGCTGTAGCCCAGAATTCAGAAAATAAACATGCTATTATGCCAGGCAGTAAGGCTGACAGGCATTTTTAAAGGATACAGGAGTCACCTTGAAGATACTCCTGCCTGGCCAACTCTAGAAAAACCAATTATGAAAAATAAAAGTTTAAAACAAAACAGAAATCCATACTAATAAGGAATACATAGGATGAAATGAAAATATCCTCATTACAGTAAAATAGCAGCAATAAATGCAAAATAATGGAAAGAGATAATCACCGTCACAGTGGCAGCTCAATCAGGCAGGAGTTATCAACAGAGAACAGGATAATGGCATAATCATAGTATAATGCCCTGGAAAATATTACTTTCACAGAGAAAAATGGTGATACTGTGGTAGAGAAACCTAGTGCACACCCCTCTAAGTAATCAAGTTATTCTCTCCAGGGTTGCAAAACATCAAAATTTTCTTAATTCCCAAATGTAACATATTAAGGGGTACAACATCATTTCTTAGTTTCTCCTGCCAAATAATGACAATTTCTTGGTCAGGGAAATATGTACACAGACCTAGGTTGACATTAATTGTACCATTTGTGATAAGAAAGAGATCAAAGAATTTTTCAGACTATAAGACTTAATGAACTTGACAACTAAATACAATGTACCAGATGGAATCACAGATCAGAAGAGAAATTACTGTTCACTGAAGACAGCAAAGATGTTCAAAGTTGATCTGACAGACTGTATGATGGTTACTTTGTAGAAACACACAGGAATATTTAAGAATAATGGGACACTGTGTCTATAGCTAATAAACAATTGTTTCTCTAAATAATGATAATGCATAAGGGATAATAACAAAAAATTCTTTAGTTACCCCAGTTACCTTGTCCGTTAGTTTGGGTTGTAGCTGGTGCACCTGCAGGAGCTGCAGGTGGTGGTTGTGCTTGTTGTTGGTAATAGTGAGCATAATAAGCAGCCCAAGCTGCTGAATTTGGATCCGTTCCTGCCTTGGCTAGAATTAATATAAACACAAGTTCAAGGTTTGTCCCTAAACTCCATAATCTCTAGCACACACAAAAGCTGTTTTAGCATACAGATGCCACGTTCTCCCCAAATTAACTATATACCAAATAGTAACAAAAAAATTCAAATATTGCTCATTGTCATCACTAACATTTATTACTGAAAACAGGCGTAAGGGACTTTCCTGGGTTACAGAACTATTAAATGACAGAACTAAGATATGAATAAAAAAGCCAATGTTTTTTCTTAAACCATCTCACAACCTCATTTTTCCAAACTAGCATCATTTTAACCACAAGAGGTTTATACGATAGATGACTATGGAAATTCTAGGCACCAACTATAAAACAAACACTTGTCTAAAAATCAATTTTATTATCTTATTTTCAATGAAGACAAGGACATTTTATAGCATTCATTCTGTTTCAGCAACTGTCATAAACTTGATGCCACTGCCCTAGCTGGGTATTCTTTTATTTGTTATTATGTTTAAAAAAGTGGTCAAAGTTTAAATACATCTTTGGTCATCTGGACCCCTTCGCTCATCCTTTCCATTCTAGCCTCAAGTCCTCTAGTTGTTCTCTAATATACAAGTATGCCCACAAACTGCTTTTACTTTTCCTTAGTTTCAGTGCTCAAGCCTAAGTCTTTGGTCATGTATTTTATTTGTCGTCACTTCTCTTCACTTTCATCGCCCCTAAAAATCAATTGATGTTTGAAGAGAAACCAGAAATTCTGTTTAGACTTTTTTTTAAATAGCAGGACTATCATAATACCAGAGCTAGACCTGCTTCTCTAAGAATAACACAATTTCCTTGGTGAGAATCTGAATTATTTGTATAAAACATCTGATTAGCCTTTATCCTGAACAGCAGCAATACACAGGGTGATTTCTGTGGGGGGAAAAAAAGAACCAAAGATTTTCAGAAAATACTAATGTGCTATTAGGTCACTCTTCAAATCTTTCTCATTGCTCAACAAACTGCTTTTCTATGAAGGAAACATACAAACTTAACTGCGGCACTAATAAACATTTCACTGATACAGTACTGGGATAAAACAAATTAGGCCTTTTATAGAGTAGAAAAAGAGTGGTTCAAAAACTTGCTTGCTATGCCAAATTAATTAGTAGGAGGAAGACCAACTTAAGGCTGTTTTGCTTATTCTGAAATCTAAATTCTAAATCATTATATGAATTTGTAATGCCTGTCATTTTTAATAAAAAGATCTTGGTTTGGAAACAATAATACTACATAAATTGAAATCTTATGTAAGTAGCACCTAACCAGACCTGTAACCTTCTGTCAACTACTACATACTTTTAACTCAAACAGGTTACTTATCTACCCAATGCAATGTAGGAAGTCACATTAATTGAAGATTTTACACAGCAACTTCACCATTAAGTCCAGCTAGGAAGCTGAATGATTCACAGAACATTTTTATTCTACAATTTTTCTCAACCATGCTACCTATTCCAACAACGCTCAGCAGTATAACGCTGATGTGTAACCAAGCTATTCTATAAATAACATCCCTTAAATGTTTCCATTTTTTAAAATTATGATTCTTCTGCTTCATCATGCCAATACTAATTAGCTTACAAGAAGGATAGAAAAGCCCTTTTATTCTTAAGAGGTTAAAAATCAGATCTGATGTTTCTTCTGCATTCTGGGAGCTCCTCTATGACAGCACTGCTTACGCTGAGAGCGTTCTTCTGCTATACACACTCGTCTTTGCATACCCAGGTGCTAACACGATTCTCAAGTTGTTTCTTGAATGAGAGGAAGTTATAGTTATTTGTGACTGTTATAATAGTCCAAAGAGCAAACTTCCTATGAAATTAAAGTATATTATAATACAGGACCACACTTCAATACAAAATGTTTTAAATTCAAAATAATTCACTTAAACGAATTCTTATACCTTCCTTGAAACTATTCCAAAGAAACCTAAAAGGCAGGTAGCAGGTAAGAAGAAAGAATCATAAATAAATGTGGATCTGCTTTCAAGGAATACTTCTTTGACCAAGATGCAAAGATAACTATGGGGTACAGAAAATGGAAAAGTAAAGAGTATAAAATACACAGCAATCAAACTATAGGTCTGATTTTTCCTAAAGCATTTAGTTGTCTTATCAGGAGTACCAGACCACTTGGAAATCTGGGAAATCATTGTTCAGCATTTTAACACCGATAGAACCTCACAATTTATACATAAATAAGTACAAACTTGTTTTTTAATGTTAGAAATTAACACTCTATCTGACATCACTGTTGCTCTTAAAACAGTATTTATTTTGGGTCTTAGCACTATGTTTATCAATTCAGTAGAGAACACCAACCTTAGGCACAAAATAGCTCTGTAAATGGATAATAAATGTCAGTTTTAACACACCATGATAAAAGCAGTGCTTAATACTTGGGAAGCAAAGCAAAATACTCAGGCATACACAGGCGGAGTCAATAGAAAATTCAATAACATAACTAGGCAGTAAGCAAACAAAAGGTAATACAAACGCTAAGCATCTTTTACCTGGATCAGGAGGAGCCTGTTGCTGCCAGTGTGGATACGCATTTCCCCAACCCTGGGGAGCGTAAGGCGCAGGAGGACCACTGAAAAAAAATCAACATTAAAATACAATTTACTAAAAGCTAAAATCCTTGGGGGCTGGGGAGAGGAATTCCAGACCAATTTCAATACTTACTGAGGAGCTGGGCCAGGTGGTCCTGGATTATAAGGTGCAGGATTGTATGGTCCCATTGGGGCTCCAGGCCCTGGAGGCCCAGGAGGCCCATGGGGGCCTGGGACACCATGGGGCCCATGGGGTACAGGAGGCCCTAAAGGATTTACTGGGCCCTACAAAAAAGCATAACACAAAAATTCAAAGGCCAAATAATCTCCTATTTCTCCCACTTTACAAAGTATATTTTACATTTTCTTTTCCTCAACGTTGCAAAAACTATCTTGTTGCATTACTGACATGCAAAATTCCAATAAAGTTATTCAGAGTAACAAATAATGCAAATCAATATACTTTCTTCAGCTTCCCTTTCCTTTCTTAATTCTTATTTTTACTATTCCTTTCTCCTTTCTATAATGCAAATCAGTTATCAGATCCTTATTACTTCACTTGTAAAAACTATTTCTCAAACTAGTTAGCCTCCCTGGGAGGGCAGTTGGAGCAACAGTTAAATCAGCACTTAGGACAGGTCCGCCTTATCTTGATGTCTGGGGTTTGACTCTAGGCTCACAGCTTGGTTCCAGCTTCCAACAGTGCACATGCTGAAAGCATGGGATCCCTCAGAGAGCTGGGTCCCGGTCTCCTAGGTGGGAGACCTGACTTCAGCCTGGCTGTTTCAGGCATTTGGGGAGTTCATGAGTGGGTGTTAGTCTACCTTTATATAGGTTAAAATTTTTTCTAAATATTGCTTTACAATCTTGCCGTAATGAAAAATCCTATTCACACAATTTAACATAATGCCCTTTTTACCTTTTGCCATCAGTCTACTAAAGTAAGAAAAATTTTGACACTTTATCCAGCAATCAGAATGCCTGATTTTCACACTACCAAAATTAGTAATACTTTTCATTTTCATAAGTCAATGGGCCGAGTCTTAGACCAAACCATCCTAATAAAACTTGCATATGGTCAACTTTAAATGTCAAATTTCGGGAAAAAAATTATTTAATTATCAATTTTTTTCCAAAACAAAAGAAAAAAAAAGGCTTCATGTTCTTTAAAGGTCCTTTCATTAACTTCCTTTTTTAAAAGAAAAGATGTATTTATTTTTATTGGAAAGTAATACACACTGACAGGAGGAAAGACAGGAACATCTTCCATCCATTGGCTTACTCCTCAAGTGGCTGCCAATGGCTAAACTTGAGCTGATCTGGAGCCAGTAGCCAGGAACTTTCTTGGGGTCTCACACATGGGTGCAGGGATGGTCCCAAGGCCCTGGGCCATCCTCCACCGGTTTTACAGGGCGCAAGCAGGGAGCTGGATAGGAAGCGGCACCCATATGGGACCTGGCACGTACAACAATAAGGACTGTTAGCCACTAGATTACTGCGCTGGACCCTCATTAACTTGCTTTTAAGGTCTCCAACTGCAGTCATTCCTCACATTATCCATCTTTTCTGAATAAGGACATAGCCATGCTGAAAATATAGCAATGTTTTATAGTCCCCCAAATTTTAGGTGTTACACAGTGCTATGTGGCAGGCATCCTTTTTTATTTTGAAGCTGAAAGAGGTGATCTAGACCTTCCAACTCCTAGCTCACTCATCAAATGCCTGAAACAACACAGGGCTAGGCTGAACCAGGAGCTTAGCAGTCAATTCGGTCTCCCAAGTGTGTGGCAAGAACCCAAGAACTGGAGTCATCAGCTGCTGCCTTGCAGGGTGCACACCAATAGGAAACAGGAACTGGGACAGAATCATGAATTCCAACCTGAGAGAAGGGCATCCAAAGTGGTGGTTTTAACTGTTGCTCCCAGTACTTATTCTCAGACATTCCTATTAATCTTCCACCCTGCCTTTATCAAGACAACAGCAGGTCAGAGTCAAAATTCAAAAATATCTCTAACAGTCTATTTTTTAAGTTGGCAATTTTGCATGGTCCATGAAGGTTAAGGCTTCAAATGGCCCTTGGTAAACAAAAGGTTCCTACCCTCTACACAGATTTGAAATTAAGCATCCAGATTGTAATTGGCACACTTTGAGCCACTATACCAATTTGTTTCTCTAAAACAACCTGTCATTTGTCTTCATGAACCACAAATGTGGTAAAAACAAACAAAACACAACGCCCCCAGATTGTTATTCACTTCTTCACAAAAAAGCATTACAAGCTTTGCTATAATTTTATAAAATTGCTTCCTTGCTCTATTCCAGACATTACAAAAATCAGGACTATATATTACTTTCAGGATGGGAAGCCTTTTACATTGAAAAACAGTCTAAAAGCTGGAATTTTATCCATTCTAGGGTAGAGAGATGTATCTGATTCTTTGTTTTCTGCTTTTACCAGAGCTGGGTATAGTTGGCTTTTAATACATATTTAATACATATTAAATTTTCTTACCTGGTTCCACCCAAATATCAGGTGATTCTTTGCACACATCACAAGAAACCTATTTAAGTTATTTTAAATGCAGTATCTTTTCTCTAGTATTTACTACATCATGAATCTCAAACTAGGAAACCAAAAATTTAATGCATTTGAATTAATGTCTAATTTAACCACTTAAGTTGCTAATTAGAAGTTTAAAGCTTACACCAATTTTTTCTTCTATGAGTTGCCGAGCATAGTCAATTTGCTGTGGAGTGCCACGGATTGTAAATAACTTCATATTAGGATCTGCATTAGGTGGAGGATTTCTCTGAAGTTCTATTCGTGCCCCAGACTGTTGGCTTATGCTTTTTATAGTTTCACCTCCTAAAATAACAAGCATAATTTCTTTAAACTCAAAAGATGTAACAGTATTAAGAAATGGTTAGACAACCATTAAAAAAAAAAAAAAAAAACAGTGGTGGTATCCCATGCAATATTCCATCAATTCTATTAAATCATATGAAACAATCCATGCTTTTATTAAAATATACTCTGGCATTTTTCCATTATGTTCACACATAGCTTAAATATGTATTAAAATTTACCAAAATAATTGGTTGTGGTAAACTGGCATTTGTAAACAACTGAAATGTTTGCATTTAACACATAAAAACATTCAATTTAAAAAGTATGATTCACAAAAAAATCTAAAGAAACATTAAGCCACTTTTTCAGATCTAAGGGAAAGTTTCTTTCACTAGTAATTCATCAATACCAGTTTCGAACATACTGTTTGATATGGCAAACATCAATACAAATACAGTCAAAGTATAATCATTGCTATTTGGAAACAACAAAGTGTCCAGAAAAAATAAGCAACATAACACTAAGAGATTAAAATACATTACCCTTTCCTATTATTAATCCAGTTTTTCCAGTTGGCACAATGAAATTAAATTCTTGTAGTCCACCAGGTGGTCCCATGTTCCAGTTGCCTTGCCCTCTACCTCTTCCTCGGCCACCAGGTCCAGGTCCACCAGGATTGCCGGCCTACGGAGAAGAGGAAGAAAATCATCCAGGAAAGAAAGAAACCTTCTTGGGTCAGTGTGATGGTACAGCACACTAATCTTCCACCCAAAGCACCAACATTCCAGGTGTTTGGTTCTAGTCTTGGCTCCAATCCAGCTCCTTGCTTAAGGCCTGGGAACACAGCAGAGGAGCCTTGGTTCGGAGCTTTGGCACCCTGCACCTGTGTGGGAGACCCAGCGAGAGCTCCTGGCTCCCAGCTTGGCATCAGATCAGCTCTGGCTGTTGCAGCCACTTGGAAAGTGAACCAGAGGATGGAGATCTTTGTCTCCCTCTCCCTCAGCCCTGCTTCTTCAGCTCCCACTTCAAGTAAAATAAATACCTTAAGAAAAAAAATGAAAGAAGACAAAGAGAAAAAAATAGATCCAATTGGCCCAAAGCGCTGGGACCCTGCACCCAAGTGGGAGACCCAGAAGGAGCTCCTGGTTCCTGATTGGCTAAGGTGTGGCCATTGCAGCCACCTGAGGAAGAACCAGTGGCTAAAATATATTTCTGTCTCTCCATCTCTCTGTAAATCTGCTGCCATCATCAGCATTATCAAAAACCTAAACAAACATTCCATAACAAAAATTAGAATTATTTTTTCCAACTCACATATTATTTGACCAGAAATTTAGGAATGACTTCAAACACAACCTAAGCAATTATCAAGCAGTGATCAAGTGTATATATATATATATTTAAAATGGTGGCATGATTAGCGCAGGACCCTTGTCCTGTCCCCTTCCTCCGGCTCAAAGATGCTTACCTTGAGGCAATTTAAATGAGCCATTAACAAAACATTACCAAAATTACTGATATAAATACAAAGGGATGAAGTGCTTAAGATAGAGTGAGTGACACATCTTTTCAGGCACTGGGCCAAGCCATAGCCTGAAGTCCAGAGCCAAGAACTTTGTTCAGGGTCTCCCAGTTCGGACAGAAGCAACTCAAGTACTTGAGTTACTATCTAGGGCCTCTTAGGAACATTAGTAGGAAGTCAGATCGAAGCAAAATACCTAGAACTTGAAGAACACGAAATGTACAAGTTCCAAGAGGCAGCGGAACCCTGCTGCACAATACCTACCCCAACACTACTTCAGGTAGGGTTATGGCACTGCTTATCATGGCACTAATTTATCATAGCTTATCATGTTATGGCACTACTTATTCATATGGCAGTACTTATTAATTTTCTGTACAACCTGAACACTTCGAAGAAGATCTGTAATGATTTCTGCAGCATGCTGACATCGGTCTGGAGGTCCTGTTATCTGTGCTATTCTATCAGGTGTTGTTCCATCATCTTCAAAACAAAAACACATTGAATTAATTAATGAAACATTTAACATGTAGGTGTCAAAACTCATTGCCATTAACAAGACTAAACAATATTTACTTACCTGGCTTGAACTGAATCCGAACACCAGCATCATTTTGTATTTTTTTGATCATCTCTCCATTCCTTCCTATTACAATGCCAACAGCAAATCTTGGAATGGGGACCTTTACAAACAAGATTAAGTATTAAAAAAGCCATTTTCCAAAAGTATAATCTACCTCTAACCGCAAAGTATGCACAATGCTACGTTTATAGTAAATGGATTAACACAGCAAACAATTATAGGAAAGTGAACAAAAACACAAGCACAATGTTATATAGCTTAACAAGAATAAGAAAAACAAAATTAAAAACAGTGTTATGTTTAAATATTAACATGTAGTAACTTAAGAGTACTTTTACTTACGTCTATCCCTTCATTTCCTCCTATTCTTGACCCATACTCATTTCGAACTTCTCTGAAACCACCTTGATCACGTATTAACTCCAACACCATTTCCTTGGCTTGCTGAAATAGAAAGTTAGCCAAATTAGAAAGCAGGCTTCTAAACATCTTAATTATTCATCCAATTTCCAATTCTTTCTCCACCACCATCCAAGCCAAGCTCCTTCTTTAAGCAATATAAAAGTAACTTTACCTGAACTTTGTATGGATCTCCCGTAATCCTAAGGGGTTTGTCAGCACCAGTGTTCTGAGGTCCATCTTGAATCATAACCATTTTAACTCCAGCTCGTTCCTGTATCACAAAATATTGTATATATGAATGAGAAAGGATGAACAAAACTGGCTTTAACATAGAAGCACAGCAATAATTTTACAGGCACAATACCTGAAGTTGTTTAATAGTCTCTCCTCCCTTTCCAATAACTAATCCTGCCTTGCTAGCTGGAATCATGATTTCCTGAACTGCATTTCCTGGCCCATCACCATGATGAAAGCCAGGGGTTGGTCTTCCTTTTTCGACAATCTGGTCCAATAATCGCTTTGCTGACCTGTTAGTAAAATAATATTAAAATAATCAAATATCATGGTACACAAATTTACCCAAACACAAAACTACAAAACATCAGAATCAAGCACTCCTCCTCCACAATTTAGTGAGCTTTTATTTATTTTTTTATTTGAAAAGCAAATTTTTACACAGAAAGAACTTAGTTCACTGATTCACTTTCCAAACGACTATACAGGCCAGGGCTGCACTGGTCCAAGGTCACAACCTTAGTGACTCTGGGTCTCTGACATGTGTGCAGGAGCTCAAGAATTTGTGCCACCCTCTGCTGCTTTCTGAGGTCATAAGCAGGGAGCTGGTGGGCACAGGTGGAACACAAACCAGTGCCCATAGAGGATCCAGGCAGAGCATCAGATTGCTATACAATGGCACTGGTCCCAAATACCCATGTTTTTAACAATGTTTCCCATACCCAGCTTGGTAGCCTAGAGCTATCTTGCATGCACTCGGGTCCCATATGGGCAGCGGTTCTTATTTCGGCTGCTCCACTTCCCTTCCCAGCTCCCCACTTGTGGCCTAGGAAAGCAGAAGGTGACCCAAAAGCTTGGAACCCTGCACATGTGTGTGGAAACAAAAGAAGCTTCTGGATCCTGGTTTCAGATCAGCCCAGCTCTAGCCACTGCAGCCATTTGGGGGAATGAACCAGAAGATGGAAGGTCTTTCTCTTGTTTTCTTTATTTTTGTAAGTGTGACTTTGCAGTAAAAAAAAAACAAAATCTTAAAAACAAATAAAAACAAAAAACACCCCAAAAACCAATGCTGTCATTTGTCTAAAGGTTACCAAGACTGAAACCATGCCAATTTTCTTTGCATATATTTGAGAAAAATTTGTTTCAAGAAATAGCACTGAAATGACAGCTTCAGAATTAAGCTGATATATAGAAGAACTAAGAACTAAAAGATTTATTTACATTTTTAAACCACCATCTTGGGCCCGGCACAGTGACCTAATGGCTAAAGTCCTCGCCATGAACGTGCTGGAATCCCATATGGTTGCCAGTTCTAATCCCGGCGGCCCCCACTTCCCATCAAGCCTTCCTGCTTGTGGCCGGGAAAGCAGTCGAGGACGACCCAAAGCCTCGGGACCCTGCACCCAAGGGTGTGGGAGACCCAGAGGTGCTCCCAGCTTTGGATCGGCACAGCGCCGGCCATTGCAGTCACTAGGGGAGTGAATCACTGGATGGAAGATCTTTCTCTCTGTATAACTGACTTTCCAATAAAAATAAATAAATCTTAAAAAAATGATTTGCCAGGTACTTGGTAAACTGGGTTACAGTACTGAACAGAAAGCAGGGTATGTATGATTGGCTCTTCTTCATACAATGTCACAACTTTAGACATAGCAAGATAGCTCCCCTCTACTGCTTCACTCCCTAAACACCTCTAATGCTATTAGTAGGCTATAGCCAAAGCTGAAAATGCAAATCTGATGTCCTGCATGTGTGGTAGACTCCCAACACCACTGTCTTTCAGGGTGCGCAGTAACAGAACAGGAATCAGGATCCAGAGCCAAGAAGAGAAACCCTGGTACTCCTTTGTGGGACACAGGGGTTTCAAGTACCAGGCTAATCGCCTGCTCTCCATTTACTCTGTAGAACATATTATTACTACACCATCACAAGAAGTCTATTGTATTACAAGGTAAAACAAATACACTGTGATAATACAGGTAAATGGTATCACAGACTAACACAGAGTACAGAAGGTACTAAGAAATTGGATTTTGAGTAAGTTGACAAAAGAAACATGGCCAAAAACTGCTTAAGCAATGGGGGCAATGTGAGAAACAATATTGAAACAAAAACATAAGTGACATGAAACAAATGAGAGGGATAAGCAAGTAACTTGAGGATTAAGATGAAAATTCAGGGTTTTTAATGATCTAGAATTACAGGGACAATGTTAATGCTATAGTGTTAAGCCGCCGTTTGTGCTATCAGCATCCTTTACTTGGAGTGATGATTGGAACATTTAGCTGGACTTCCAATCCAGGTACCGCTAATTAAGTATTTAGCTTTAGTACTGCCCAGCCCTGGTCACTAGAACCCTTTGGGAAGTGAACCAGGAAATTAAAGCACTTCCCTTCTCTTTTCAAATAAACAAGTGTTTAATATACATTTCAATGGAGATAATGTAGTAACAAGAATGAGGCTGAAAATAAAAATGTAAGAACATACAAAGCATGTAGCATAAAAAAAAAAAACCCTTTGCATAACGAAAATATATTAAATATAGTTAGTGATCCAATGACTACATGTAGGTATTTTGTAATTAAATTCTGGGGCATTTGCATATTGACAGGCCAATCAGAAAGAGTGATCAATACATCCCAAAGTCACATAAATAAAATATTTTAAAATGGAGAGGCCACTGAGGTAAGTACTGCTGAGAGGTTGAATGGTTCAGTGGTCTCACTTTGGAAAGAGAAATGTCTATGGAATGATCAGAATAAAATTCTAGTGTGAGTTTTTAACAGAAAATCAATTAAGCAGATAATTGGCAAATACAGTCACCTCTCTATGAAGAATTTTGTTGAAAAGAAATCAGAAGGGGTTGTCGTCGTGAGTTAAGCTGCTGCCTGTAAACGCAGCATCCCATCTGGGTGCCAGTTCAAGTCTGAACTGCTCCACTTCCGATCCAGCTCTCTGCTAGTGTGGGAAAGCAAAAGACTGCCTAAAGTGCTTGGGCTCTTATACCCATATGGGAAACCCAGAAGAGGCTCTGGGCTCCGCTGCAGTCTGGCTCAGCCCCGAACAGATGGATTTAAGCTCTCCCTCTGTTTTTCCCTAACTTTCAAATTCATTCTTTCTCTCTCTCTCACACACACACGCGCGGACAAACAGAATTTGAGTTCCAGGGGTTTCTGTTGAGATGAAATGATTTACCAAAGACACGAGGCATAAATTTTAAGTAAGTTAGAGAACCCTAGGGAAGTAGGCAGGGAGATAACAATGCAAAATTTTAAGATAGATATACTTACTGGACTGATTCGGGTGTTCCAGTCAACATACAAGATCTTTCTGGTAGGCCACCACTATCTACCATTAAAACACACAAAAACAAAAGAAAACAAAACAAAGGTCAAAACCAGCATAACCAAGCACCATTATCACTAACAGCTGGAAAATACAAAGGAGGTAACATTACCAGGAGCGATTTGTATTTTGCATCCAGATTCTTGCTGTATGCGTGATATCTGTTCACCTCCTCTGCCAATTACTATAAAAAGCAAAAAAGGAAAATTATTTGCAGAAATATTATGCTTGAAAGTTTTCAAAAAAATTTTTAAAAAAGGTTACTTACTAAAGCCAACCATTCCATCTGGAACTTTGTATTCTTCCGTCATAACAGACCTGCTGAGAAATAACAGAAACTAACAGTTCACTTCAAAGTTAGTTTGTGTATATAAAAGTGTTAATACAAACAGAAGTCTATGTCTCCTAAAGGGACAGACCAAGAGCCTAAGACATATGTTAACGTAATTTACCGCATTTCTAAAATGTGGCAAATTCCACCTAACCATTTAAATTACTCAAAAGGAAAAATCATTACTCCAAATTTCTTTTATGAAGAGAAAAACAAATCACATATACAACAACAAAAAAGTGCAGATACACAGTTTATACAAAAAAGAGTCACCCCAAGTTTGAAGGACTTTTTCAGAAGCTTTGACAATACCTTTGCTGCTGATGCATCGGTGGTAACTGTGTTCCAAAAGCTACCAAAAATAAAATGAACATTCAAAATGTAAGTTACTCACATATTTAACAATAAAACTGTATAAAGAATCCTCAAAGCAATCCCTGAAGCCCAGACAACATCTTGGAGAACACTTAAATCAGCAGACAGTGAGAAAGCTAGGAAAAGGTCAAACACATTATGGATATAAAACCACTTTCATTTCCCCAGGTGGTACAAGGAAAGATTACACAAAACTATTCAATCTCTATATAGAGATATTATCAAAAACCCCTAAATTTGCCAAGAAATTCAGATATGTCTAAAGGCTTTTCACAGACCACCTAACTTAAAGAGTAACTACGAAACCAGGAACAAAACACATAAAAATTCAGCTGATTTAATTTTCAACTGATTAAAATAAATACTTACAGTCATTTTGAGGAGCAACTTTCTTAGCATCTGGCTGATCTGCAAAATTAAGAGTCTTTTATTTTTTTTGCCAATAAACATAAAGCTTCTTCCTCAAGCAAGAATATCAGTAAACATTTTTGTGTATTTTTATTTGAATGAATTATCGCCATGATTCAAGCCAAACTCAGTAAATCTAAAAAATAATTAAATATCTGTCATTCTCTTCATGTTTAAAAGATGCACAGACAAAAAAAAAAGCTCTACTCCATTAATTTACTAACTTTATTTTAAGCACTTTAAAAATGACATATCATTGGCAAAATACCACATGGTAAAGGCTAATGATGCTTCTGCTGTAGCAACTAAAGAGGGGCGTGGAAGATTATCAAAGTGAAAAAGCTGACACATCCAAAGTTGAGTGTATCCTGACAATGCCATAAAGAAAGAAAAAAAATCACATTGCAGGGCAATCACAACATAATCTGTTCTATTCCTAAACAAACATTTCACAGCATAAAACTTCAGAAAAACTCAAACCAACTGCATGGTTACCTTCGTCTAAATCCATTACACAGATGAACACAAGGCAGACCTTGAAAGACAACCTGCAGCTCAAAGCAACACCCCTCCCCAAAATACAATCAGATATCAGATTGTTGTGCAACAAAAATCCAAACACATAATCCAATGTGTGTCCATATAGAATTCATTGTTTTATTTCACGTTTACATACTCAACACAGGTAATAAATAAAAATTCCTGCCTTTAAAAGGAGAGGGCATTCCCTCCCAGTGTGTTGTACTGCTCAGACTTGTCCAAGAGCCATCTACACATAAAATAAAAAGAATACATTACATACAACATCTGAAGCATCACTAGCTCATTTTTTGTATATTAAAAGCCTCTGCAAGTATGAAAGACAAATAAAAGGACACCAAGTACTCCTGGCCAAAAGCTGCAAATATATTCCATAGGCTTAGGCAGAATCCTTAAAAAGGCAAAAAGAAACCCTCAAAATTCATATAGCAAGCCTCAAAAAAAGAAAAACACTGTGCAGTTTTAAGATCACAGGCCTCAATAATTATGCTTTTAAAAATTACAAAGCACTGCCAAGCCACTGATTTAATCTATGTTTTATGTTAAGCCTGAAAACAGCAAAGTAAAACAATTACAAATTGTATGACCTACAACACACTACAGTAGCAAACTGTAGCAACTTACCCCTTTAAAGTAAAAACCAAATTAGCAAACTATAACATATAAAAATTCATTTGCATATGAGAAAAACATATGAAATGTCCCCTAAACAACTTTCCCTCTTTCCCACATGTATTAACAAGAAGTCTGTCCAAACCATCAGTTTGGTACAATTCTTAAGAGGGAAAACAAGTCTAAACTCTTAAGGGAAAATTTTCTGGCTGACCAAAATTTTACTTACCTTGTCTTCTTCCTTTCCTTTTGAGGCCAAAGTAAAACCTTACAATTTTTTTAACAAAGTAGTGTTCCAATAAAATAATTGGAAATATGAAAATCACTCCCACTAAACACTGTATAAAAGAAGATTACTTAAATTGTAACTTACCTCCATCTTCTAAGGGTCTTTTTTGTCCTCCATAACCATAGTCATTTGAATTCAGTGATGTACCAGCATCACCTCCAATTTTTGCTGCAATCTTTAGAGGAAAAAAAAAATTATTATAAATCAACAAAACAGTAATTAATTAGGAATATTTCTCTTTAAAATCTATTTACTTTGAAAGGATTACGGAGACAACAGGGAGACACTGAGATCTACCTGTTGCTTCGCTCCCCAGATAGCAAAACATCCGGGAACTTCATCCAGCTATTTCATGTGGGTGGCAGGTGCCCAACACTTACTCGAGTCATCTGCTGCTTCTTTCTGGCACATTAGCAGAGAGCTGAATCTGAGGTAAACCAGCCAGCACATAGAACAGCATCCATTTCATATGCTAATACCACAAGGAGGTGGCTTAATTGCCTATGGCCACAATGCCTGTTTCAACTAGGAATTTTTAGAAGAGATCAAGCAACTTTTCAAAACAAACAACAAAGCCCTGGGTCCTAACTTCTCCATAGTGGCTACTATGCTGCTTGGGGTGTCTGAACCCCATTATGAACAAGATAGGTTATTCCAGTTTCTTGTTAATGTACAACCTGAGAGGCGGCAAGTGATGGCTCACCCATTTGGGTTCTTGCCACCCTTGTGGGAGATCCAAACTAAATCCTGGGCTCTTGAGGGTTCCACGTGACTGTGCTTTAGCTGTTGCACAGTGTGGAGAGTGATCCAATTGTCTAAGAGATCTCTTTCAAATAAAACAGGAGTGCAGGGGGAAGAGAATGTGTGGACACAGAAAGCATGAACACTTCGGGTAATGGGGGAGTCTCTAAGACTGGTTCTGGGGTATCTGAAATGCAGCTAGTTCTAATTAATAAATTGCTAAAAATATACTGGAAATTGAAAATTTAGAATGTAAAGAATGTAAACTATCTCAAAAATCTTGGAAACATGTCAGAGGGCACAGTTTAGATATGCTGAATTAAAATTTGTGGCTTTTGCTGTATTTCCACTGGACACTGCTGTTCTAAGCATACAAGCACAAGTCTGGGGAGCTCCACTTTAGGAGAGTTTCTCAACTGTAAGAACCATAATTCTACTAAAATATCTCTCTAGCAAGGCAAATACCTTAGTACTTAGCTAAGCAAATATAACAAATAACAAACATTGGCTTCAAGTCAAAAATGTGGCACAATTCATGGGTATTGACAGCTGTTTTATATCCAAGAAAAAAAAACCTGGACTGATACTGTTGAATGTCAGCAACAGGTCAAATCGTACACTATGCTTTATATTTATTATCTAAATGTATAATGAATGATGGATTTTGCAGTAGACTGCATCATGCTTTCAAACACATAAAACCTATATAGCCTTTAGGGGTTCAGTACAGTATCTCACCGCACATACCCACCATAAGCTAATTATATCCATTATCTTTTGTATTTTCATTTCTATTATGTGTCCATCCTAGTTGTTCCTTACAGGATATAATACATTAGCACCAGTAAACACCAGAACTCCAGGTTTTCCTCTCATTACATTAGTACCTAATCATCCCACCTTACCTCATTCCTTTCCCCCTTCGTAGTAACAGTGATCACTATTTTAAATTTAGAAAAAAAAAATTTAGAAATACACACTTCCCAACTTTCATGTAAGATCCAACACGTCTTTTTGTTTTTTCAACTCAGCAAGCCTGTAATACTTTACACTCATGAGACAAAAGCAAACTTGGGTGTTTAGAATCCTGCAGAGATCCTGAAGTGATACTAATCCAAGTGCCTTCAGTTTTACCTATATTAGGAAATGGAGAGTAAGAAAATATCAGCCTTGAGGTGGGCCTAAGGCCTCAAGATTAAAACACTGGCACCCATGCAGGAATGCCTGATTTTGACTTTAGGTCCTGGCTGCCAATACCAGCCTCCTGCTAATGTGGAACCTGTGAAATAGTGTAGGACAAGTGACATCATTTGAATGAGGACACTTGATTCGATATATAAAACAAAAGAGATTCTTTCAGAAAAGGGTGTGGAAACTGATGGGTTCCACAGACAGGTAAGCTCCTCAATACCTCTTCCCTTGTCCTATCTGACCACCAGTCCAAAAAAACCTGATGCCACTAATAAACTTCCACTATTGACCATCAGTCTGTAGTCCATGTGTATTCTTCCTGGCTCTATGCACCAAGTCCATTGTTGTAGGACAGCGAAAAAGGCAGCAGTGATGTCCCAAGTACTTTGGCTCCCATCATCCACAAGCAAAGGTTTCCTAATGTCCTCAGTCCTTGCAAACATCTGGAGAGTGAGCCAGTTGATGGAAGCCCACCCTTTCCAATGCTCAAAACCAATAAAAAACACTCCCAACCACCCAGGCAGCCACTAAGGCAACTACCTATGATATGGCCATCCCATAATAGCCCTGGCTCAAGTCCTAGATATTCCATTTCCCATCCAGCTCCCTGTTAATGCACATGAAAAGACAGAAGACACAGAGCCCAAGTGCTTGGGCCTCTGAACCCACAGGAGACACCTGGATGGAATCCCAGGATACAGGCTGGGGCCAACTGTGGTCACTTGGATAGTGCATCAGGAGATGGAAAAACCTTTTTTCCTGCAGCTTTCAAATAAAGAAATCCTACAGCTAACAAAAACTTATGTCCTGACACTGGTGTTACAGATAACAGGTCACACCACTGTTTGTGACATCACATCCCATACTGGTCTGCAGGTTCCAATCTTAGCTATTCTGTTTCTGTCTCAGGTTCTGGTAAGAAGCCTGGGATGACAGCAGCAGATGGTATAAATGTCATCCATGTGAGAGACCAGAACAGAATTCACAGATCCTGGCTCTGGACTGTCCCAGATCTGTTGTTGTAGCCTTTGGGAAATGCACCAGGAGATAAAGTATCCATCTCAATCACTCACTCAAGCTCAATATGTAACAATTATTATAAACCAGCACTAGTTCCTTTTAACACATATTAAAAGCACTCAGCATCTGAATGTTCCTTAGGAACTTAAATATCCTGCTAGGCATTATTGCTGGTAGTATTTCAGGTCATAGAAAATGGTACTACAGAAAGAAAAATGGCTTAGGCTTTATCTTTTGCAATCAGCTTTCACACACTGCTGAACTTGTGCACAGAGAAGGGACACTCATTTATACTTCCTGATTCACTAAATGGTACTAAAAGCCATCCACATGAAAAAGTAAAGCTGGCACTTGGTTTACTGAAGAACCAAAAACACCATCTCAGACAGAAATAATGCATACAGCAAAGAGCTTTTACTAAAATACTGAAAGAACTGATCAACTTCAAGTGCAACAGAAAATATTTGTCTAGATCCTTACAAAAAGGATTAAGAATTAGCTTCTAAAACTCCATTTCCAACTTTCAACTATATCCACCTCGTTAGACATACAGTAAGGACAACATCTTGATTTTAGTTTAAACATAACTCATACTTTCCATTTGGACTTTGCTCTACTTTTTGAATGAGCATGGTTCTTTTTCTTTCTTTCATTGCTTCAGCATTTTTCATTCACCAGTCATTTCTAAAGCCCAGTAATTCTGGAGTTTCAAGAATTTTTAAGTCATATTATTCAATTTTCATAAAAGTTTTAAGGCAATTACCATATTATTAGGCAAATTATCACATGCCAAAAAATCCATTTCCCAATTTCCAGAGTATTAAACGTGTTTCTCTTTGAGGAAAAGCTGTGAAACTGACTGTCTCATTTTCTCGAGCTGTGTGTACCCAAATCTGTATCAAGCATTCTGCACCAAATCTACCTTATCTATAGAAGAGATAACTTATACACCTGTATTATAGGATGACTGTGAGAATTAACACAAGCCATGCTTAACATAGAGCCCCAACATGTGCTATGTGCTCAATAAATGGTCAGTTACAACTCACTGCTCACAACTAATCTAACTATGTAATACAGTTCACAAGATTTAATTTGTGGAAAATGTGTCTATAAACAAACGGTTATTCAAGGACACAAAGAAATCTGAAACTTCTGGAAATGACATTACTCTACAGCAGGCATTCAAGAAATAAATTTTCAAAATATATATTTTCAAAACAAGATTTCATTACTACTTTAATTCTCCAAAGATATTTGTTGGCTCTACTCAGTAAGCACTGATTACCCACTATGAGCAAGGTCCTGATGGAGTCAGCATACACCAGAAATGTGAACTGGTAAGATGGCCACCATTACTGTTTGATTACTAGATTACTGTAATGACCACCAAGCCTTGCTATCCTGTTACAATTTTTTTAAAAAATAAGATTCATTCTGAAATGTCAGTTTCCCATGATGAGATCGATGATTTAAAAAGCTATCAACTCAACCTTACATTTTCATTTTAGCCGAACAACATAATAAAGCCAGAATCCTTTTTATAATTAAGGAAAGAATTTCAAGAGTAACTAAGTACTTAATGACTAACAGAGGGTCTACCTTTACATAATAATATGAACCAAAAAACCATGCAAATACACTGAAATTTTCCAGTGTCTCAACGAAATTTCTACTTGCTGTAACTGACAAACACCTACTCAAAGGACCCAAATCTTACTTTCTGAAGTTACAGCTTGATATACCCAAAAATCAAATTTTACAATATACAGATTGGAAATTCTAAACCTGAGAAGCAATCTGGCTGCTCCTGTGCTATAATTACCTTTCAGTGCCGTAAAAACAAGCAACTGGGAGTCTCTGGAAATGAAGACCGGACAATCATCTAGAACCTTACCACTCACCCTGCCTTCCCACAAAGCAGCGCGCGCGCACACACACACACACACACACACACACACACACACACACACACACACACACACAGAGTTCTTGAAGCTTTTACAGAGTTCAAAAGCTACATTTATACCCCTTTCTTCCAAAAAAATCTAAAGGGGCCCCGAGCAAAGACAAAAACAAGGATACGAAGGGATTTGGGAAACAAAATTCCATACACTCTACAAGGACAAAGAGGTTCAGACATTCACCTACTGTGTTCTTTCAGCCCCAATACTCTCCTCTACACCCCACCCTTACACATAACCACAAATGAAGCTGTTTAACTGCTGTCAGAAATTTTGTGGGTAATTCCACTCAAAAGATAAATCTCAGATTTGAGATGAATTCTATAGAGTAGAGCTGAGGACTGTCCAGTCAAGGCAGTGTAAAGGAACACACAATCATTTAATCTGGTCCTGTCAAGGCACTTGCAAGAAGGGAACTGAAATTCAATGAGCCCGTGTCAGGCTAATTTCTTATTTATTTATTTTTTAATAATTACATTGCATTATGTGACACTTTCATAGGCTCTGGGATTCTCCCACCTCTTTCCCGCTCCCTCCCCCCATGGTGGATTCCTCCACCGTGTTGCAGTCAAGATTCTTTCATTGCAAGCATATACCAAGAATAGGGTCCAGCATGTCTGTCAGGCTAATTTCTAAGCTGAAAAGTCTGCATGGTCTGTGAATGTTTTAAACACCCAAATGACCTTCGGCAGAAGATTCCCCATTCCTGGTATACAGAAACACTCAAACCATTATAGCAATGATAGCAGAGCAGCCAGTAACTTCCTGGCACCAATAATGAGTAATTCCTGTTTGAAGAGTTTTAACGTTTTACAGTCTTTTTAATGAAATCATTTTAAATGAATGCATGTGTACCTAAGGTCTTCGGGTATTCTGACCTATCCACAGGTTTCCTCACTTCATTCCCATTGCCAAATACTACACGCTTGCTGTTGCTGCTCTTCCCTGGCCAAACCCTCACTCACTTTCTACTGCCCAAGCAGTTAGGAACTTCGTCCAAGCTGTCCTGCAATCAGAGAGGGTGGATGAACTAACTGCCCCAAATGTGTGTATCTTCCCTCAATCAAAGAAATATTCAGATAATTCTGCCGATTCGCATTGTTTGACTGTTTCACAGCTTCCTAGAAAGCAGGGAACCAATTCACCCATTTAATAATTTCCAGCACCTAACATTTAGTGTAACGTGGTGATTACAAAAATGTGTCTTTTAACCCAATCTGGAAAAACCCATTTGTAAGAATTTGTCAGTTGTATTAATATTTCAACTGCTTAAAAAAACCTAACATCCACGATCACTCTAGCACCCTTGAATACTTCTGGTTACAAAGATGTATTTCTAAATTGGTCCACATTTGAAAAATTAAGAGTATGGGTGTATCATTTTATGAATACCGGTTTTGACCCAATGATCCTTCCAATCGTATGGGAGGATAAAAGGTGAATAAAGTGAAGGATGCAATCCAAGCCTATCACAAAACTGGTTTTTAACTGTCTTTTACTTCACCCTAAAAAGTCTAGCACCTAGTACAATGTGCGAGCGTTGTAACAATATCCTTTGCAAGTCCACAACGGTATTTAAAATGTTTTAAAATTACAGTTAAGGAGCCACCAATAAAGCTCAACTGGGGGGGAAAAAAACCCAAAAGCCTTTGATGTTCCTAAGATACAGGTGCGTGTGTTTTCAGCTCAAAGCTTTCACCAGGGAAAGCAGTGCCTCCAGGGCAGATGCACGCAGCTACGTAACACAAAGAGGTCTGGTCAATTTACGACTCGGAACAGGGAGGCAGATTCAAACTGAAACCTCGGGGATCACCGGCCCGAGGCCATTTTGAGCAGTACGGGGGGACAGCCGGACACAGAAATGCCGGCCCGAGGAAGGCTCTTCGGGCACTCCAAGCCTGCCGGGTCCACGCCGCACGAGGCGCGCAAACCCCTTCGCCCGCCGCCGCTCCTCGTGGTCCGGGTCCCCGTGCAAGCCCCCTACCAGAACCTTCTCCGGCCCTGTGAGCGCTCCATCCCAGGGAAGAGGGGAGAGAGGGGCCAGCGAGCCCCGGGGAGGAGAGCCCAAGCAGGCGGAGCGGGGCTGGACGCTCTCCCTACGCGCTGCGGCTCCCGGCGCCGCACACACCCAGAACACACACACACGCTCCGCTCGTCGGCGGCGGCACCGGCAGGGCACGAGCCGGGAGCGGCACCGCCATCCTCCTCCTCCCCAGGCTGGGCATGGGCCGCGGTGGCCTACTCAGCCACGGTCCCATCAGGCTGCGGATCCCGCCGCGAGCTCCACACGTACCTGCCGCGCTCGCTGCAGCGCATCTTTGAAGGCGTCGTTCACTCCTCCTCCGCCACCGCCACCGCCACCAGCCGAGCCAGACGAAGGAGGAGGCACCGTGGAGTAGTCCGCCATGGCTACACTATAGCAGCCGCTGCCGCCGCTCTGGAGACCTCCTCTCAGCCAACTGCTAAGACAGAGAGAAAATGGCGGCCGTCGAGGCTCTATTACATTCTTGCGCGACCATCGTGCCGTAGAGGGGCGGGGACAGAAGGAAGTCTCGCGATGTTTCCGAGGCAACGCGCAAACGGCGGGGTGCGGCTAAAAAAAAAAAGGCGATGACGTCGCGAGATTTGGATTTCAGATTCTGCGTGAAGGGACTTCCGCTCGGCCCCGCCTCTCTCTCCGTGTTCCGGCGGGGAGGCGGCCTGGCTGTGCCTGAGGGGGAAGGCCGGGCCGGGGCGGCGGGCCCAGGCGTCCCGGAGAAGGGCGGGCGGCCCGCAGGCGGCAGTGTGTGGAGCGCGCGGCGGCGCCGAGGTCACGGGGCCAGGCCGGCACGCCGCGCGGTGATGCGCTGGGAAACGTCCGCCGGGGCCGCTGGGAACCCCGCGTGATGGTCGGGGCTGGATAGAGTCCCTGTTTTTTTTTTTTTAATTCCTTCTGGCCGTCGGGCGTTTCCGTTTTTTTCCCGCAAGTGGCGATGAATTCACGCTGGAGCCCTGTTCTCGCGCTGTTCTTCAAATTTTTCTTTAAGACAGTATTATGATGCTGTGACAGGATGACTGCCCTCTTGTTTTAGAAAATCATGTTTCTAAAATTCAGTGCTAGGCAGGCTTCGTAGTGTATGTGTCGGCGGCCGGTTTTGTGGCGGTCCTTATTGTTAAGAACAGCATCGATTTCTTTGCCAAAATTCACTTTGTGACTTCCTAGAACTACTCTTTGCCCAAACTCGTGGGTTCTCAGATGTAAGGTAATGCTCTAATTTAGATAATGTATCATCCCCGGGAAGATCCTTTTGGGATACTTTGTTATTTACTGTAGCTTCTAAGTAGTTTCAGACATTTCTTTAGATCTCCCTTTAGCATATCGTGAGGGATAATTTATCATGTTAATAGAGATAGATGGGATCGGTAGCATTGGAAGTCTTAATGTGTAACAGTGAATTTTCTTTTGAAAAATCTTGCCGTTTAGATAAAAAGGTTGAAGAAACTGTTCTCAACTGTGGTATTTTGTTTTCTTTAAATTAAATGTTTTTGAAAAAGTTCTTCGTAGTTTAGGATTAGGGAAACAGAAAACTGTACTTGCAAAAGCCGTGTATGCACTGGACTAACCGTGGCAGTGTGTAAGAAAATCAAATGCGGCAATGGGTGGTATTGCCAAATAGGAATTTTTCAGTTATATTTCTAGAAAGTTGCCTAATAAATGTGTACTAATCCATGTTTGATTTTTCATGTTTTAGTAATTAGGCATATGCCAGTCAGGCTTTTTGGTTACCATGATTTTGCCAGAATTAGGTAATTCACTCCTTAAATGTACAAACCTTAGGTATAGCCACAGTTTAATTTTAGTTGTTTTTCAATATTGGAAATGAGTACAGACTTAAATTTCTTGTTAGTATTGTAGAAGTGGAACAAATTGAAGTTAGTCTGGAGCAGGATTTCCTTTTGTCTTTTTGTGAGTCTTTTTTCTTTCTTTCTTTCTTTTTTTTTTTTTTTTTGGTGTATGCTTTCTTTCTGCTTTTTGTTTTGTGGGCACTGGTTCCAGTCCTGGGTGCCCCACTTCCCATCTAGCTCCCTGCTAGTGCTCCTGCGGAAGCAGTGGAAGATGGCTCAAGTCCTTGCCCTTGCGTCCATGTAGGAAACATGGAGGAAGCTCCTGGCTTTTGCTTGGATCTTGCCCCATCCCAGTCATTGCAGGCATTTGGGGAGTGAACCAGTGGATGAAGGATTCTGTTTCTCCCTCTCTAATTCTGTTTCAAATATGTAAATCTTTTTAAAAAGAAAACCAAAAACTGTTCTCTATCAGTTCCTCACATGTCTGCAGTAGCTGAATTGGTCCAATGTAAAGCCAGAAACCCAACTGCTTGGGCCACCTTCCGCTCTTGTCCCAGGTACATAGTAGGGAACTGAACCCGAGTGGAGCAGTCGGGTATGAGCCGTCTCTGATACGGCATGTTTGTGTGAAGATTGACAAGTGGCTTCTGGAACAGCTGTGGCTAGATCTCAGGATTACTGACCTTTTGGGACCAGGTGATTGGTTTTGCAGCACTTGTGCACTCTGGGGTGTTGAGCAGTATCCTTGACTCTGCTCTCACGCAACACCGGTTCTAGCAATCAAAAATGTCATGTGCTGGCCTAGCAGTTAAGATGCGCAGGTCCCATGTGAGAGGACTTGGGATTGACTTCACATGCTCCGGATTGTGTGTTCCTGCTAAGGCAGATGTTGGGGGAGGCAGTGGCTGCAGTGGTTGCGTTTCTGCCACCCCTGGGGAAGATTTGAACTCGAGCCCCCCTCCACCTTTGCGGGCATTTGGAGAGTGAAGTAGTAGGTGGGACCTACTATGATATTACAAATGTGTATTCTAAAAATTTGTGTGTAATACCTGAGGTGTTATAAATAATGAACATGTATCCACTCTCCAAAAGTTATCTTCATAGACCAGTACCAGTGCTTAAAGCTCAGGAGTGCGTGATTATATTACAGTTGGTTTCTCGTACAGAAACTTGATTATTTATTTTTTCCAAGATTTATTTATTTTTATTTGAAAGGCAGATATTAGAAGGAAAGATAGCTTTTTTTTTTTTTTTTTAAGATTTATTTTTACTGTAAGGGCAGATTTCCATTGGTTCACTGCCTAAGTGGCTGCAACGGCCAGAGCTGAGCCGATCCAGGATCAGAAGCTGCTTCTGGGTTTCCCTTGCAGGTCTTGAAGCTTTGGGCCGTAATCCACTGCTTTCTGAGGCCACAAGCAAGCTGAGTTGGAAGTGGAGTAGGCAGGATGTGGACTAGTGCCCATATGGGATGCTGGTGCTTCTTAGTGCAGGAGTAGCCTGTGCACTACCACTCGGACCCCTCTGTCGGCTTTTCCTGTGTTCTTAGAGAGGATGACCATTAGGCTTGAGGAGGAGAGCAGCGACGTAAACGGAGCAGGGTGGTTGATTGACTAATTTTTTTTTCCTTTCTCATTGAATTTCTAGAATTATTTTCAGAGTAATGTATGAATGGACATAGCAGCAAAGATTTGCATTTTAAGGAACAATGTTATTGATACACACGTGTAACTAGACTGGAGCTCTCTGTAGTGGCAAATGCTGTGGACTTGATCCCAGAAGATTTAAGGTTTAAGTTTGATTTGTGTGTCCTACTTCTATGTAAGTTCATTTTCAGAGGAACTGATTCCTGAGGAGCGCTCTCCTGACTTCTGCAGCAGATCTCTCACTTCAGTGACTTGCCCTGCTCCCTCCCTGTCAACAACAACTAGAAGCTCATTTCCCATTTGTATACCTGAAAGGTAGACTCTCTGGCTCTCTGCCCTCTGCTGGTTCACTCAGCATGTTCCCACAGCAGCCAGCTGGGCCAGGCCCAGGTCGGGAAGCCTGTGTTTCCCTTGCAGGTGGTGGAGGCACAAACACTTGAGCTATCTTCTGGTAAGAGTTCTTTTTCCAGCATAGCAGAGAAGAATAGTTTAATTTGGATCTGAAAAGTGGGGATGTTTGAAGAAAAGTCTTGTGTTCTTACTCAGTGATTTATTTCCTTTTTGAAGTTGCTATATCATTTCACCCTGAGCTACCAGAATTTTCTACTCTTGATTTGGGTGCCAAATTTGATGATGTAACTTAATGAAGTTCTGTTAGAGGACTGAAGAATATTGGGAAATTGCCTGTGACCACTGATGAATCTCAAGTCAGCTTTTTATACTCCTTGCAGTTCCTACCTGTTTACAACTGCAAGTCCCTGGGCGTTTGCAGTTACTTTTTTCTCTGAAAAACAAACAAACAAAAAAATCCTTTTCTAAGTTACTATTGGATGGCCATTCCCTATGTTTTCTAGAAAGCCATAGTAGTGATACTGTCATGCCCCTTTGTGGTTTGAGAAGTGCCAGCTGATGGTAATGTCTATGACAGGGCTGTGTCTTGTCTTCATTTATAGCTAACTCTGAAATCTTGCTGATAATATCTACTCTAATGTCATATGAGACACTCTTCTCAGGGCTTTACGTGAATTAATTTCTTCTACCCCCAGGTTTATAAGATAGGGGTTATTAATGTCTCCATTTTGCTGAGGTACACATCCATTAATTAGCTTGAATTTGCCCAGGGTCACACGTCAGTGTTAAAAATGCTATTTCATCTCAGGTAGCCTGATTTGGAAAAAATGGAGTTGTCTTTAAAAAGACAACCAGTGAAACATAACCCCTTTTAATTTCTAGGATATGGCTCACAGCTTGCTAATTTTCTTAATTTTTGAAATGCTTTTATTAGTTTTTACCAAGACTTGAGCCACAGTTCTTTACGGATGGTTGCTCTTTATGTAGAGCAGGGTTGGGGAACATCAGGCCTGCGGCTAGGACATTGTAAGATGCTTGAGAAGGCTACGTTTTGTTTGTTTTAAGAAAACATTGTATTTGATTGTTAATAAAAATTTGGAAAGTGTCCTTTTGGGGGCAGCATTGTAGCACAGTGGGTTATCACTACCTGCGGCACATGCATTAGCCTTTAAGTACTGTTCTAACCTGGCTGCCCCACTTCCAGTTTAGCTCCCTGCTGATGTGCTTGGGAAAGTAGCAGAAGATAGTCTAAGTACTTGGGATCCCACCAACCTGGTAGGAGACCTGAAAAGAGTTCCTGAATCCTGGCATCAAATTGTGGAATCCTAGCTGTTTGGGGCATTTGGGGAGTAAACCAGCAGATGGAAGGTCTCTGTGTAACTCTGCCTGTCAAATAAATCTTAAAGTAAGCAAACAAAGCCTACCCTTTTACATTAAGGCATTTTGCAAATTAAGTTTTATTTCCTCAGATAAAATATTTGTTAAAGATACATTTGCTTTACTTGAAGGACAGGGTTACAGATAGTGAGGGAGAGAGAGAGGTCTTCACTCTCCAAATGGCTACAGCAGCCAGAGCTGATCTGGGCCTCCGCTGGGAGCCAGGAGGCTCTCAGGATTACTTGAGTGCCTTGTACAAGTTGAAGGTTAATTGCAGAGGCAAGACTAGCT